CTCGCTGCAGACGCACCRYCCGACATGATTCCCCAGTCAACGGTATGYATGAGACGWAAACGTAACGTAGACCCTTTCGGTCCCAWRSGTGTGRAATACATATCCGTAAGSCYCAATTCAAACGTCGTATCTCACACSTGTCAAATTCAATGCAAATAAGATGATGATGACAAAACTAATTAATTATCATCTGAATTTGCATTAGGGCTAGTGGTAGGGTTTGGGGTTAAGATTAGAGTTGGGGCTAGTGTGTAACGATATACTGGTAGAGTAATTCACACTAGGGTTTGTGCTAGGGTTTGGGGTTAGCATAAGGTTAGGGTTAGTGTTACAGTTCACTGGTAGAGTAATTTACATTAGGGTTAGTGATAGCGTTTGGGGTTGAAATAAGGTTGGGGTTAAAGTTAATGTTCATTGTCAAACAATTTGAATTAGGGTTAGTGCTAGGGTTTGGGGCTAGCATTCAAATACTTACAGATGTTATAATGTAGCCTATTTTCGCATGACGCAAAATTTGAACCATATAAGTATTAAAGATGAACGGAAATGTATGTATCGACGCGCGGGACACCCTCGGGACACTAGTTCCCAGTCTTTTATCACGTGACCAGGTGTCTCGTACAACATGTGCTAAAAGCAAAACATGGAGGAAAGTGCTGAAAAAATGCTTTATTTTACACACTTCAAAGCTAGAAGAAAGCTAAAAAACACTTGAAGAGTGCATTTAAATGTTTAATGGGCATTTTGAGCCATAAAAAAGGGAAGAAAGTCGAAAGAATTGCAGGTTGTTAGGTAAGTTAATATATAAATTGTAATGGCGCGCGTTTTGAATGTTATGTTATGTTGCTATTTTTGTCAGAAAGTCTAGAGTATACCTGCCTTTTGGATGCGTTTTAAGAGTTTCGGTTTTATAAAATGTAAATAATCGATCGATGACTAGTTTTACAACTGTAGTCTTTATTAGATTAGATCTTCACATCTTTCCTTAAGTTGTTTTGGAGATTCGTAAACAACCTTACAAAAGACCTATTATAAAAAATAGTGTACACGGCTTTAGTTTTTTCAAACTATAGTATGAAGAATACGAAAATAACAATTCCTATAACATTTTTTTGTACAATACAGGCTTGCAAGAAGTATACATGTACATAATATTGTGTGCTAGACATGCAATTGTACAAAAAATACAGCACAACCTTCCATATGCACCACTGATATGCACAGTAAAACCATGTTAATGGCTGACCATGACATACCACAGTATGATGTGAATACTACAGTCAGCCAAGGGAATTATTACAATGACATTCAGGTATGTATGATTATGTTGTAAACATTGAGTTAGAATCAATAAGGAAGTAAAATGTCTGTTCAAAATTTTGTCTCCATTTTCYAAGGTCACATTTTAGCAAACTTTTGAACAGAAATTCTACTGCACTACGATTCCTAAAAGCCATCAACATTTTTCGAAATACGAAATCATGTTGCATTGTGGTCTAGCTTCAGTACAAACAACACCATATTTGGCTGCAGATACAAAACGTTTTTGTACCGAATCTACACCACAATGCAATGCAAAATGCTATTTCAGAAAAAGTATATGATTGGCTACATGTAATTGTCAAATATGTTATAATATGGTGTGACCATTGTATGAAGGCATTGTTCACATTTGAATGGGTTGCATTTTGGGCCATCATGTTTAAAAATGTATTCACACAGGATCTAATATGAGGTCTGGACCTTGTCCTTAGACACCAGTGCAGTGCCCACATTTTTGTCTGTGCACCAGAATCACAGGTCACAAGTGTGAACAGAGCCTGAAAATTCAGGAATAATCTGGGGTTAGAAAGAAAAGGGGGAAGATCAGTGGTATTCCCCTATATTTACCATATTGGATGTTTTAAAAAAAAGGTTTGGTTTTTGGCCATACCTTCCCTTGGAAAGTCTAAACTCACTTGAAGGGTAGATAACTCAATGCACTCTGTTGTGAGGGGGGGGGGGGGGGGGGGGGGGGGGGGGGGGGGGGGGGGGGGGGGGGGCGGGAAGAATTCCAACTGGATACTACAATCTCTCATTCTCATACCCAGATATCCGTGCTCCACCTTTATAGTGTCAGTCACTCGTTTCCTAGTTTTCATTGTTTCCAAAGGGCTTTTGGCTTTATTTTTCAATGCAAAGTAGCCAATCATGTGGCTTGAAATCACAGAGCATTCTATAGTCTTATAGTGGGGAGGGAGGGGTATGAGAATGAAATCCTTGATTTGCTTCCCAGATGGAACTGAATTCTCTCTAACTGCAAAGAGATCCTTTTAGTATTTTGAGTAACCTTGGACACAAAATCATGAAAGAAACACATTGTATTCAAATTATCTTTATTGTTTATTCATTCCAGTATTTTAACCATGATTTCATCATTTCTTCTACAGCTTGACAGCAATCATGATACCATTGATGTGAGATGTTAGTCTCACTATAACACCATGTCAAGCTATGGCCATCAACCAAGTGGCAGACCTGTAAGTAAAAAAACTCAGCATAAATCATTGAATTCACTAAACATGCATCATAAAAACAGCTCAATAAATCTTGATTTCCTTTTTTAAATGTACATTCTCATACACTTTTTGTCTTTGTTTCATACAGATACCATTGTCTGCCAAGACATGACCTGGCTGTTCCCATGGATACAGAAAGAAAAATGAAAGAAATGGAGTGCAGTCATTCTTAGTTCGATAGGACTGCACTCCATAAAAACTAGGATTCAGTCTAGGGTTTTTTGTGCTGGGGAGCTGGCTATTTTTTTTATAGGAGCTTAAGGGAAAAAAAAAGGATAAGCTAGGATTTCCGACTTGTAAAAGTCATTTGAATATCTGAAAAGTGTTGTAGCCTGCAATTGTAGATTGAAGAAGAACAAAATTCACTTGCCAGTTCCCCAGCCCAGAGCAGTAGATACATAAGAGTGTCCAACTTCTACAGGATTTGTGTTAGAAGAAGATTTTGTGATGATGCCATGTGTCATCTTGATTGAAGTTGTCCTGGCTTCAATGAAGACCTGTGATTTTCACTGCTTGACGGTTATTAGGTTAGAGGTTATTAGGTTCTCAATTTTTTTTTTCGATTTTAAGACACTCTTCTGTATCTACTGTTCTTCTTCTCAAAAATGAAATAAACTTGATGCCTCCCACGAGGCCCTGCCAGCACCAAAAGAGAAGCCACCCCCGCAGGCCAAATCTTTTTGGTAGTCTCGCTGCYCTGACTAGAGCCAATCGGTTATAAGGCCAAGACCAGCAAACTTTAGACTGCCCTGATACTGGAGACTGACTGTATGGATGTCAGACCTCCACCCACTGCAGACTCCATGGAGGAACTCTGCTGTCACTCAAGTCAGCAAATAAGGTGAGGGTCAGTGCAAATGTGAGTCTTGGGTGATCCCACCCCACCACCCACTGAATGTGCATGACAGTGATGTACTGGGTGATCAGTAGGCTTGAAGTTAAGCTTCATTCAGACTTCTCCAAACTAAGTGATTATCAAACTGACGTGGAAGACTAAAAATCATTTTTTCTGGGATAATATTGTGGGTTTAAATGTTGTCGGCGACTGATAAAATGGCCTCTACCACAGATTGTAATTTAATTGAAGTTTTTTCACCAGCAAAGTGAAGACCTCAGCTCCTTAAACAACATTAAACCTGGTATACTTTAATCTAATGTAATATATTATTTCTTCATAAATGCAATGTAGGAAATTATAGTACAAAAAGATTCTGACAGTGTTTACAACTAAAACGTCTAAACTGGAAGCTTTCAGTGATGGGGAAAACAAACTCTTTGAGAGCACATTGCTATTTGATTGCAGTTTTATTCAATTCAAATGAAAGCAAATATGCCAAAACAAATCCAGCAAAATTGAAGATGCAATATATTTTACAGTTAGTATGCTGTTCAACAAGAGAAGAAATTATCAACAGTGTTCAAAATGTTGGCTTGATACAATGGCTAATATCAGATTAAAAAAAAAACTTTTCAAAGTATACATCAACATGTCCAAAGTGAAAGCCAAGTCAGTTCATTTAACTTAATTTTGATTATTATTATGTACAAGGATGAAAATATATAGATGTTATGAAATTAAAACATTGAATAACGTTTTCTAGAGTCATCTTCAGTTGTTAATTTTGATTGATTGAACAGATTATAAAATGCGATATGGAACGAACAAAAAGAATCAAATCAATAAGTAAACTTTGGGGGCTGAGATCTTCAACTAAATGTTTTCTTCATTTGAAAATACTTAGAAAACAATGCAAGCTATTTTACTGGTGTAGTGAAGTTAATCTTCTTTTGCAATAGAACAACTGATACAATACTTAACTTTTTTTATATTAAGAATTATAGATGGCATACAAAGTCAATCAAGATAATATTGAAATATGAGATATTGATCCATGAATTATTGTGGAGGTGAAAGGTGATCCATGAAAAGAGATGGAAAAAACACCAAACCTCAGAATATATTATGCARCATTACRAAGAGGTCAAAAGTGAAAACACTGTACCTCAGAGACTTAAAGACAGCTATGATTAAATGAACTAGGGCTGAAATCAAGGGAAATACAGCACTTATGAAATAATGTACATKTGGTTATAATATTTATAGCCAAGGAGAGAATGCCATCTCAATAAAGAAATAAAAATTCTATGAAAATTCAACAAAAATTCAGTTGAAAACTTACCAGTTACACACCACAGCCATCAAAATGTTTCTGTATTAGTACAACTTGACTTGTCGAAAGTTTCTTTGCTGGTGAAAAAACTTATCTTTGGTTAACATTAAAACTTTAACTTTAATTTATAAACTTTTCTGTCTTTTTGCCACCATTTTCGATTAACTTCTATAAATAATAAGGGAACGCTTTAGGACATTGGTATTGTCATAGAAGAAATCATGAGAATGTTTGTCTATTTACATATAAATAATTTTTATCTCGGAACTCATTTGAATTTTAAATCAGTTTAAAGTGATTCATTAAAATTCAAAATGGCTTCCAGTTAATCAATTCAAAATGACCTCTAGGATAATCAGTTCAAAATGGCTTCCAGTTAATCAATTCAAAATGACCTCTAGGATAATCAATTCAAAATGGCTTCTATGTTAATCAATTCAAAATGGCTACTAGGTTAATCAATTCAAAATGGCTTCTATGTTAATCAATTCAAAATGGCTTCTATGTTAATCAATTCAAAATGGCTACTAGGTTAATCAATTCAAAATGGCTTCCAGGCTTATCAATTAAAAAGGCCTCTAGGCTAATCAATTCAAAATGGTGGCAAAGTTAATTAAAACAGATTTTCCCAATTAAATTGCATGGTGGTAGTTGGTCTTATCGGATTTGACCTTCACATTTAACTCACTTTATTATCCCAGAAATATACTTTTTGTCATCCTGTCAGATTTGATAATCTTAACTTATTGGGGAGTTGTCTGAATGTTGCTAAGTGATGAGCCTACTGATCACCCAGTACATCATTGTCATGCATATTCAGTGGGTGGTGGGGTGGGGTCACCTGAGACTCACATTTGCACTGACCCTCACTTTATATGCTGGCTTGGTGACATCAGAGTTCCCCCCTGGAGTCTGCAGTGGGTGGAGGTCTGACATCCATACAGTCAGTCTCCAGTATCAGGGCAGTCTAAAGTTTGCTGGTCTTGGCCTTATAACTTGGCTCTAGTCAGGGCAGTGAGACTACCAAAAAGATTTGGCCTGCTGGGGTGGCGAGAGACTTGGTGCTGGTGGGGCCTCGGGGAGGCATATTTTTTTAAAAGTCAAATGGGCGTGTACCCTATAGAGATGGAATACATAAAAGACACATGAAATTTTCAAAGTCAAACTTTATTTTTCTCATGCAACAACCAAGACAAAATACAAGTCAAAAACAACAAGAGAAAATAAACTAAGTTATTTTTCTATCTTAGATATGTTATATACATTGGGTCTTGTACTTTGAGTAAGGAAGAAACCCGAGTTCCTTCCTCACTCAAAGTACAAGACCCAACCAACAGTTCATTTAACATGAAGTCCCACCTCAACCAAACATTCAAGTCCCCCCAGCCCTACAAGCAAGTCCCTCCCCAACCCAAAAGCAAAGACCCTCCCCAACCCAATACTGAACCCCTCCCCAACCCAAGGCGTAACTCCCTCCCCAACCCCAAAGTGACCATACTGAGAAAGATGGGAATAGAAAAACCTACTGTAGTTTTCATTTGATGATATAGAATGCAAACACTTTGATCAAATCGTTTAAAAGTTTTTGATGATATATACAATCAGAACAATGCGTAAATCTCTTAAGAGTAATCTAGATTAATTCAGGCTAAACAACCGTGTTTGCATCGTATATCCAAGTAAAGAAACAAAGACATTAACTGATTTATATCGAGCAAGGCATATAGCAAGCCATCAGCACATCTCTGCATAGTCAGACTCTGCTTTATAAATGAGTCGATGATGAGTGCTTTTCTTAAATTAAACATCCATTGAATTTTGTTCTCATCAAGACTAAGTTCACTTGAATCAATGGTGTCTTGGCCAGAAAGGAGTCGCCTGGAATACAACAAATGACCACAATTTCTGGAGATTTCAACTCTATGACAAGAGCCATGGTAAAGCAGAGTCCAACTGTGCAGGCTGCCATCTTTCTCAGTATGGTCGGTGATCCCCTCCCTCTCCCAGAAATATGAACTCATTTAACCCAGTTACAACTGACTCAATCAAGAAATGAAAGTGCATTAGAAGGAACAAGTCGATTTTTTGTGGGGATATTCATAGTAATCCAGGCATTGAATTCGAGGATTAGTACTGATTGCCGTCAATCAACTTAGTTGCAATTAGGAAATCATTGTTATCAACAAGTCTGTGGTGCTTTAGTGTTAACTGTAATCTAATTTTTGCTGAATGGATGATTTTAGAAATCAAGTAAAACAACGTAACAATTTCTTTGCTTCTCAAAGTACAAGACAGTACTATTTTACTTGACACAAGACTTTACCTGAATCACATGTCAGTTGTAACTGGGTTTTCCTACAAACAAATAACTCTTCAAAGGCAATGTTTGTTTTTGTGTATGCATGTTGTGTTTTGTTGTTTTATTATCAGCGGGATATCAACCATGTGCAGCATACCATAGAATCCTGTGGTTGTTACATGTTCTCTAAAGAACCTCAAAGGCAGTTTCTATTCCCAACGTTTGCTCCRTTTCAATTTAAACTCTTTCACTATTGAATTTAATGATTTTTCGTAGCATCTGGGTAGTCAAAAGTCTCCATTTTAACTTGAATTCTTTCACTATTGAATGTAATGCTCCATTTCAATTTGAATTTTCCACTTAATTAAATTCTTTCCCTTTTGAAAGTAATATTTGACCATGGAGTACCATCTGTGCAGTCAGGAAGTCTACATTTTTCTCAATTACAATATAAAGTTTTGTTTCAAGAGTACCGTTACCTGTTGTTGTTTTTCAGACAGAGGAAGTACTTTTGGCTATAAATAACACATTGCGGGCATCATGAACCCTGGGGGGAGGGGGACACACAGGATTCTATGTATTGTATGCTAGCACATGGTAAACAGGTTACTATGGGAATCGAGAGACATTTTGCCCAAGATCCAATATTGGTTCATCTCACACAGTTCAGATCACATGGAGGCTGCTTTTCATCAATTTTTTGACCTGTCAACATCAATTCTCAACATAAATTATTAGTAAAACATGGCATGTATCAATAAMCTACAGGAATAACCCCAAGCTTGCCTTAGTGCTACATCTCTGCTATACATATTTTCTTAACAACAATAGAGCAGGATTTGGAAGGGATGGTGATATTGCTAATGTACATGTAACTCATACTACCAAGGATTTTTGAATTTTAAATTCATTTGAAATCTTTCATGTTTTATCAAATTCCTTTATCATCTGGTAATTGAGATAATATTGCAGACAAACATGAGGGATGTAGACAGTTACAATATCTTTTTTACTCTGATAAATGCCACAATGTCAGTAAGTTGTCTCACTTAATTTTTTACAGGTGTTAAATATATCTTTTTGCACAACTGTTTCTTTAGGAACACCAACGCAGCTCACACTAATTTACCGCTAATTCTGACCATTTTTATTCTTAATACCCTACATCCCTGCATGTATGATGATAACATTAAGGCAAGCTATCCAGACACAAAAACCGCTCTCTTATACGTTACCATTGCTGTATGATCACTGACTTAAACAGTGTTGTTAACTTGACTCAACCTGTGACCAGCAGGGCTGTAATCAGCATAGTTTCCTCTGAGGCTGAAAAGTACTTATGAACTACATGCAAATCTTACGATTTTAACCCAGGGAGGGGTGGTGAATGTGTATATTTTTTGAATAAAAATCAAAAATGGAATTTGTGTCTTTATGCCATCATGACAATAAAGTTTTGTAAGACTGATATTTACAATTACATATACTAATTCCAGGAATTATCTCATCTTAAGTCTAATAACTTTAAGTGAGAATATTGCTTATGTAACCAAGATTTTTTTCATTTTCAGTTTCTAATCTAATGGTCCTTTAATTTCTGAAATTCACCACCCCTAAGATATACTAATTCACCACCCCTAAGATATACTATACCAGATGTAAAACCTAGAGTATGTACACCATGCAATGATTTGCATTTTTGTTCTTGTACATCATGGTCTGTTTTATGTTGCCCTAAAAGTCTGAAAATTACTTTGAACTTCATGCAAACATTGTCATCACAGAACATGTTAACTTGAGTACTTGACCTTTAGCTAGGGATGGTGAAGGGTTCTCAATAAACACAGAAAATTGAAAACGTTTTTTTTTACTTCACAATACGGCCTTAGAAATAGTAAACAATGCCTGGTCCAGAGATTTTTGTTTTTGTACACAGCAATCTCAGGAGATAACTTGGAGACTCCAGACGTGTGGATGCCAGCAGTATATTTGATAAAAACATTTGCAGATACAAAATTTCTGGACTCGT